ACAACATGACCTAGCCAGCGTAGCCGCAGTCTTTTAATTCGCTGAACTATGTCAATGTCGTCGTATATCTCGTACAGCTCATCGTTCCATCGAATGCGATATTCGCCGTGGCCGACGCGCAAAGGAAAATAAATCTTTCGCAGAACTTTTCTCTCGAAAACTCGCAACGTCGACTGATCCGTTGTTGATATAGTCCAAGCCTCTGCCAAGCAGGACGGGTATTATGAGTGACTTATAGAGTTTGGTTTTTGTTTGTCGAGAGAGGACTTTGCTTCTCATCTCGTCATCTTTATGCTTCTACATTTACTTCGCTTAGTCTTATGTGTTACAAAAAACCGTTAAGAGAACAAGTATTAAATCGTGTAAAATGGTTGCTTTGGTCGACTAATGTACATACATATATTCATAAAAATTCTCTGGTGAGGCGAAAGTGATAACAGCATTTAAATAAACATTCAAATAATTGCACAATGTTATAAATATATATTTATGTAACATTTTATATCAGTTTTATGCGTTGACTCAACTTGCGGTGTATTATTTTTACATTTAAAATATCGCACTTGAACTTTGCTCGCCCTCATGTATTGTAGTTTTTTCGTTCATTTAAATTTTTAATCAGGCAATCCCACATGTTATTGACTCATATGCCGAACATAACGACTTTACAAGCAAGATGTAAAAACGCAACGCATGCGCAAACGCACGCTTGTATGAATTTATATACTTACTACTAAATTGAGAATTGTTTTTTTTTCGGTATTCGGTGTCTACACCAATAAAAAAGAAGATATAGAGAATTGACTCATCAAGTAAGTAAAAGTTTTGGATAATTAAAATATATATTTACATATGTATGTATGAATATGCATAAATATGCTTTCAAAAGCTTAAAATATAATATATAAGTTCAATTCCTTTATTTTAAAGAAAAAAAGTTTTTGACTAGGTTAATTTGCTTATCAGTTAGAAACATGTGGTTTAAAAATATTTATTGGGGAATTTCGTGCTGATTAAAGTATAAATAAATATTAGGGTCATCCAAAATTTTAAAATCTTTTAGGTGTCCCTATTTCTATTTTATTTTTATTATACCCTGAACAAGGTATATTGAGTTATATTGAGGTCATGAAATTTCTAAAGAATAATTTATTAGCTTGCCACAATAAAATATATATTTAAATGAACACCGTGACGAGCTGAGTCGAATACACACGCGAACTATTCCTTCAGTGTTCGTTAGAGCAGAGGTGAGCGTTGAAACTCGGTAACTGCGACAGATACGTTTAATATGATCATGCAGGTTCACCTAGATGTTTCTTTACTAAGAAGTTGTGTGTTTCGTCCTTGCTGAAGACCGGACGAATGAGAAAATCCAAAGTGAAAACGATACTCATTGTCTTTTTTGACATCAAAGGCATCGTCCACCATGGATTTGTTCCTCTTGGACAAACCGTCAACGCCAAGTTTTAGGGGGAAGTTCTTCTCCCCAGCTGCCCCACAGCCCAGATGTGGTTCCCCGGAGCAGGAAATGCCGATGAAAGGCAAGAATTTTAAGACTACAGAGGGGATCCAAGCAGCATGCACCTAGGCTCTCAAAGCTATTCTGGAGAACGCCTCTCGTGATGCCTTCAATGCTTGGAAACCGCGCTGGCAGTGCTGCATCGACGCAGAGGAGCCTATTTTGAAAGTTTTTAAAGAATTGTAACGATTGGTTTACATTTTTTTTTTTTAATCAGCTCTGTCCTATTATTTACCGGTTAACCCTGCTTTCTTAAAGATGAGCTTTGGATTTTTACTGAACTCTAAAGCAAACTCGTTTATAAGAAGTGTAGTGGCAGTCAAGTGTTATAACAAGTACAGTGTAGTAAAAAGAGAGTAAATGTATAAATCTATTTTTTGAAAATGAGAAGTGGAGCTTAAGGGGCTATACTGGATTGATAAAATACCCGTGATGATAGACTAAATCAAATTGTATTCTACAAAAGTGGTCGTTATGTAAACGCATAGTTTTTGCAAGTCAACAAACATGGAGAGGGATTTGCTCCTACAAAGTTCTGCACGAAATTCGGCATATATTATTGTGTTGACTATGGGGCATTCTCCGAAGAAATTGTTCAAATAGAGTCACTATAGCATATAGCTGCCATAGAAACTGAACTATTTATTGGAATAAAGGGCTTGTAATGCATATTTTTTTATTAGTGAGTTGTGATTTGTGCTTCGGTGCAACCGAAGTTAATGTTTATTCTTTGTTTTAATTTTTTCCACATTTTTGCAAGGCAACAATGATCAATAAAATATCAGTTAATATTATAATATTGCCTTGTTTAACCAAAATCTTAGGACATAATTAATCGATTTGACTTTATAATGGAAACTAATTAAATCTATGCTAATTTTTGCTTTTCATCGCGTATGTTCGTTTTCTTCCTCAATTTAAATAACCGTTATTTGTGGCATTTAACCCATCAATAGAGATTGAATAGAACCAACATATTTTGTGCCAAATTGTTAACGCTGGAAACAAATAACGAGTATAAGCGTGGCAACCCGTTAACTACCTAAAACCCACCGATCTACCCAAACAGGTTGTGGTGCTCATTGATGGCCAGACGCCGTGCAAATAAATGAGAGAACCCAGATATTCAACAAAAAAGCCACTTTGCCTGTTGTGCCAAGCATAAAAATGTGAGAAAGAATTCGCGTGTCATGATCCAAACGGTGAGCGCTGCGAGCAGTGCGAAAAGGCAAGACGAAGCGTTAACAACGCTACACGAAAACGCGCAAAAGAAATACCAAAAATCTTAACGAATAAATATATAGAATTGTGTATGGGTGTGCGTGTGCGTGTGTGTGCAAAGAGCGCTGTAAATTTCAGCACGAAAAAAGGTCAAGTGTTAAAAAAGAAATCCGTTAGTTATTACTCGGCGCACTGTGCAAAAGTGTATACTGCATGAGCTCGCCGTTGCAGCTTGTCGGCGTGCTGAAAGCAAAGTGAAATAGCGCAACGCATGAAACCTAATAAATACAAAAATTATAAAATTTCTTTGTGTGATTTTGCGCGAGTTGAAAGTACAAAATACTCGTATCAGCGTAATTTATAGCGCCTTTCCGAGAACTACTTGAAATACAGCATCCGACTTTCATTGGTGCTGCATCAAAAACGGCGACGGCAAAGGTGGGTACAGAGACGAGTAGAACACGAGTTTTTTTCATCATTCCTCAAACAACGATCGTGCAGAAAAGTATCTTTTATCTGCAATATCTGCCTCGGCGTACATATGTAAGCCGTTGTGGGTGTGTTTGTACGGCAGTATATACATATTTATTGTTGTCTTGCGTCGAACAAAAGTCAAATATTTATTTATGCTCAGACGCTGAGTGACACATGCGAGCGTGAGCACTGCTGATTTTACAGCTCATGCGCTGCTCGCCTAAACTGAGCATGAATCTGGTGGTCTGAACATTAACACACGCCTCACCAGAAATGGGAGAGTATAATAACTCTGAATTATTTTAGAAGAGCGTTATGCGAGAGATTGGCTTCACTGTGTAACAAAATTTTATTACACTGCTTTACGAAAAATCGACGGAAAAATATTACATAGAAAGTAGTTATGAAAGAATTTTGGGCAGAAAAAAAAAACCTTGGTAAAATTCAAACTTTGCAATTTTTCTTTATAGAGGCTTTGAGTTTTAGTATTTTTGAATATCTTTTCCTTTATTTGATACGAATTTTGTTGTGATTACTATAAGTTTGATTGCAGAAGAATCGAAATATTCAATGAGTTTTAAAGGATATAACTCATGTTTGAAGGCGTTACTTTTACAAATAATTTTTTCATGAAAATTTTTCCATTTTTTTCCCCCTTAAAATAAATTTTTAGACGAATTTGAAGTAAGCAAGTTTTTGTTTTTATTTAAAAGCTTTTTGTCGGTAAATTCTATGAATTCTATTTACATTATACCATTCCAAGAAATATTCAACCATGCCAAATGTATCTGACACCTCCAGCGATATTTGGCAGATTCTAGCTTTCATTGGCACAGGAGATCGTAAAAACTGATCAGCATTTTAATGAATTCAATCTGTTTCGAATCAATGAATTCGCTGCAAACAATTATGACAACTGCAATGCATGCTTGCAATCGGTCATCACTGAAAAAGTTGAATGTTGCCGCTCATTGCTTTCATCTGTGGCGCGTAAATGCTCGTACAATGATCTTGCCTTATATTTATCTGTGTTTTACTGCAAAACAAAACGAGGTTGCCGATAAATCTACGTGCGTATATAATGATAATTGCTATCTAGTTGTATACAAATGTCGGCATACATCAGCACTTTTAAGTGCATATGCTGCAGCCACTTGTCGATCGATGGCCTGTGCAGTCAAGTATTATTTTGGAACGAGGTCATAGAAGAGGTGTTCTTTAGAAAGAGAAAAAAATTGTATATGTACATTAATGAATATATATATTTTATATTTGTGGTTTCATATATTTATGTATTTGAATTTTTCCAATGCCGACAAAAATTTAATTACAAGCATAAGCATAAAAAATTTTCAAAAATTATCGAAAATATTTTTTTCTGTTTTGAATAATTATAGAAAATAATAACAAAATGCCAAATATATAATTATTCACCAAAATTTATCTTGTCGCCTTCAAAGTAATGCTTAAGGGAGTCTTCTTTGTCCTTCGAGTCACTGAAAATGGGTTCCACGGAGCGGCAATTTTAGTTAAGGAGCAAGCAAAAATCACACGGAGCCAAACCGGTGCTTTTTTTTCGCTTACATTTCGGTCACAATTGTGGCTTGATGCGATGGTACATTATGATCGTGTAAAATCCATGAATCCGGCCGTTTTCGACGGATATTCTCATCAAACACCGCAATACGGCCAAATAAGAATTTTTTATTGAACGTATGTCCCTCCGGAACAAATTCATAATGCACCAAACCACGAATATCGAAAAAAACAATGAACATCACCTCGATTTTTGAGTGGTCGTGGCGTGTTTTGTTTGATTTCGGCTCGTTTTTTCCCTCCATTTCGATGATTGTTGACTTGTTGTTACTGTCTCATCGACAGTAATGCAATGAATAGGATCAGAATTCGTACAATCAAAAATGTTCAAAGAGACCAGTTTACAGTGCAATTTTTGAAAAAAATTCTGCTTTGCCTGGACGCGTCGAGCTAAACGCGTTTCTTAGCTAAAATATAAACCAAATCATTCGAACAGAATCGCGAGAGATGTCGAGCTCTCGTGTTCTAACATTGGCATGACGACCTCCAAGCACCATATCCTTCACTTTTTTAATATTTCCATCAGTTGAAAAGGTCGAAGCTTGTCCAGAATATGGTAGGTATTTTTACTTGTTATTAAAAAAAAAATGTAGGGAGTTAATAATTCGGATCAAGCTGCTTGATTGTGAATATTTTTGGATGAAATAAGCACTTAAAGCTTACAGAATTAAGCACTTACGCTGTAATGTGAACATATCATTAGTTCTTTGCCTTGTGGTGGCGTTGTATACAAAGTAAGTGAGCTGATTCTATATAAATTTTTATGCATATATGTACATATATATGGCATATATAATTTTAGTGTTTTATTGATATCGAAATTCGCATTGCCAGCAGAATGAATTCTTTGTTCGCTTTAAGTTCGCAACAAATTCTGCTTCCATTCAATAAGGCAGCAAACCAAATTTGTTTTACTGACTAAAAATTGGTGTACATATACATATATGTATGTATGTATGTACGCAAACGATATCGCGCCTTTTATTCTACTCATTCTTTTATAGTCTTGCAATTTTGGCCATTGACACTCTGTTTCACATAAAATATGTATACACTTGGGCGCATAAATCTGCGTACAACGCTAATAAAATCGTAAAAATAACTTTAAATACAAATTTATCAGGAAATACGAAACGTATCCAGAAGTTTTTGAATTTATTTTATAAAATTTTGGAATGGTGTTATTGTTAAAGATGAGAGCAAGTTTTGCATCTTCGGAATACAAGGGAAGAAACAATACGGAGGCAAAAGTGAAAGGCGTATAAAAAAGCAAATATGGTATCAAGTGTGAAACATGGTGGAAGCGATGTTATTTTTTGGGACTGTATCGTAGCCAACGATGTTGGAAACCTCAAATTTGTTCACTCCATAAGGGACCAGAGATTATATAAGCAAATTTTGTAAGATAAAGGTACTCAGCAACTCGGTTGGAACAGAGTTTTGGATCCAAGATAACTATCCTAAATATACTGAACAAAATGTGAAGATCTGGCTTTTGTGTAATGTAAAAAACTAGTTGCGAACGATTCCTCAATCTCCGAGTCTAAACTCCATTGAGCTTGAGCATTTCTGGAAGTTGATTGAAAATTGATTCTGGAGTGATTGAAAAGTTCAACGTTCTTTGATTTTTGGCGTATTTGTTTTATAACGAGTTAAGCCAATAAACCGCAGACATGAGCTTGTAGATGCAACTCTATGGTTTATATGAAATTGAAAGCTATCTTAGAAAATTGTACGTAGATTCTTAGTTTTAGAGCACTTCATTACCGTTGTTCGTTGTTATGAATTATTTATATATTACTATATTTCTTGTTTTGGGACTATAAGCTAAATGCCAAAAATTAGTTTCTATCTTTTCTATCCTTTACATATACTTAATCATGTATAGGTTGCTATAAATTTCAATACATATGCAAGTTTCTCCCCAATTGGCACATTTCACAATTTTGGCTTAAATTTCCTACTGGGTATGCCTAGCATATGCTAAATAAGTAAATATCGTGTTAATTGTGACAGATTTATTGCATTAATTAATAATTGCAATTTATTTAGGAGCTTGTGGCTTCGCATATATAACTAAATATGTGTATAGTTATATATATTATATGTATAATAATGTAAAGTTGTATATATATGTATATATATCTATATATATGTAGTAGTAATTATATTCTCTGCAGAACATGGTATTAGTAAAGTAATAAAATTCGGCATATAAAGTAATAAATTTAAATTATACTTAACTTATGATTGTCATTAGCTGAAATGCCCAAAAATAAATCTGTATTTAAATAAATTGAGCATTTGATTGGCTCGCTAAAAAATGCCATAAATATGTTTTCTGTTTGTAAAAAAGTATTTTGTTACGGCATTTGAAAATGTTGTGTTAATTTCGTTGCTCAAGTCGAAAGCTTAAAAAATTCGTTTTTATTATATGAACTACCGTCGTTTATAGCTGCCCAAAAATGTTTAATGTGAATTTGTTTATCACTACCCTTCTATACAATTGCGTTAAGATAAGCAAGAAATTTCAGTGTTTTTGTTTTTATTGAAAATCGCTGCAATTCAAGGTCAATATTTGAGGAAGACATAACACATGATTTTCATTTGTTTTGTGTTTTTAATAAATTACTTGCTTGATTACTAAAACGGCCATGCGGGAAAAATGTATATATAAATATGTTTAAAATGAAGGTGTTGGATTCGTGAATTTCAAAGGGCTTACGAATAGAAACATATTCTTCTCCATAAAGCGAATGTAGATTGCTAATAACCTAAAATGTGAAAAACATATGCTTTTAATTCCAAAAGACTTGATTTTTAACATAATCAGACCAACTAAAGCATCGGGATTATTAGAATATATAATGACAAGAAATTCAAGCTTTTTCTGGATAAGGCACATACCAATTTTTTTTTTTAAAGATTGAAATCGATAATTTCAACGTATATCGAAAACAGCTTCGAAAATCAAAAATTTGTTTTCGAATCTCAAAAATATACCAATTATTATTGATTATTTATTGTATTATATTTTTCAACACCTTTAAGATATTGTCCTAAATTTTAGAGTTGAGTCGAGTACTAGTTCCGGAGATACAGCCTTGAGAACTTGTGCGCTCGAGGCTAACTAAGCTAAGAGCGCCGTTTTTAAACCTTCCCTTCCCCTTCGTAGTTTCATAGATTTGGTAAGAAATCGAATACTCTACAGAATGGTCTCTTACGATTTTTTCGTAAACCTAACCACTTAAATGGTATTAACTGGTGAATTTTGTTTGTCTTAAGAAACCATTTTTATCGAGCAGGAAATTTATAAAATTATATAAAATAAATTTTTGAAATATGAGAAACTTAGTCTGAAGATCAAT